GGTGATCTTGGGCCAGTCACTCTCAGCCCAACTCACTTCACAGGATTGTTCTTGGGGGGGGGATAGGAGAAGGAAAAAGTATTGAGTATCTTTGCCACCTTGAATTCTTTATAAAAAATAATTCAGGAGGCAACTGGACTTTCTTGTTTTTTTCTTTGAAGACATTCGCTTCTCATCCAAGAAGCTTCTTCAGTTCTGACTGGATGGCGGGAAATGGAAGGAATCCAGTCAGAACTGAAGAAGCTTCTTGGATGAGAAGCAAAACATCTTCAAAGAAAAAGAAGAAAGTCCAATTGCCTCCTGAAAAAGCACCTTTGGGACAACGATGACATAGATGGCTTAGAATCTCCATAGACAAATAAAGGTGGGATATAAATAAGTAAGTAAGTAAGTAAATAAAGGTGGGATATAAATAAGTAAGTAAGTAAGTAAATAAATAAATAAAATTCAAACAAGATAATAGCAGCAGCAGGCAGATTGCTTGAAATGCATACAACACTGTACATTAACTACTCTCTATGACAGTGGTGGTGAACCTATGGAGCCCTCTCTGTGGGCATGCGCGCTGTCGCCCCAGCCCCACCTCCCACCACAGGCCTCTCCTCACCAGCAGCCCCCTGGAGGAGAGTCGTCCCTGGGCACGGCCTGCACGGAGTAGTACAGCCAAGGACATAGCCAGGCAGCATGGACAAGACTTTGCCCTCACGCCCCATAGCGTGCAGATGATGCTGCAGGGTGTGGGCGGAGGGCGTGGCTGCCATGGCGCTGCAGGGCTGCCTGGGCAATCTGCGGCGGGCCATGGAGGCGGTGCGTGGCTCTGCAGATGGGCGGGGCAGGGGGCAGAGCAGGCAGGGCAGGAGGTGAAGCAGGGGCAGGGGGTGGTTTTTGGGCACTCAGTCTCTAAAAGGTTTGCCATCACTGCTCTATGAGTTTGCAAAACACATTAAGCCCCAGACCCATTTTTAGACTTGCATGTTGTACAAGTCTTTGAATGAGTGTTTTCCGGTCTATGAGACTGGTCTATCAGAGCAACCTGGTCTACCCAAATATGGGATGGAGATATTGCTTCCCCTTGCACCTTTCAGTCCCAATCTAGGAGCCTTCACAGGCAGTTGCTTCTGTGATCAACCATTTCTGTGTTAAATTTAAATTTACCATCTCCCTTTAATTCTTTGTCAGTAAATTTAAATTTAACAAAGTCTTGGAATGCTGGCTAAAAATTAGAAATGGAATAGATACATTTTTTTTAAAAAAAGCAGGGGAACCTAGATTCCACTCTCAATCAGTCAGTCATACTGACCCCCCATTTCAACCCTGTGTCATATTCTGGCAAAACACTAGAGGCATGATGACCTCCAATGTTAACTTTATTAGGCATAAAACAATCCGGCAAGTTTGAAGAAAAGCTAACTCTGAAACTATGGCAGAGTAAACTTTCCCTCTCCTATCTGACAGTATTGTCCAATATACCTTCCAGTAATTGTTATGAGAAGGAACTTTAGTTCACCAAAACAACTCTTCAGCTCTCACATTGATAAGGAACACGTGTGGATTCAAAACTTTCCTCTCTTCCTCTCCTGCACTGTTGGCAAGCTAGAAACATGCAGCTATCCTAAAGACTGTAGGCTTCACAGCTTGACACCTTGAGTTATAAATATTGGTGACCAGTGCTTTTTTTGTAAAAAAAAAAAAAAAAAAAAAAGGTTCCAGAACTCACACATGTCATACAACTCGCCTTGCCTACCCTACAAGGTTCCATCCCAAAAAGGTGCCGGAACTCCATTCTGGGCGTTCTATGACAAAAAAAGCCCTGTTGGTGACAATCCAGCTCTTTATCATATCAAGTTATCCCTTCATCCTCTTAAGGGGAAAACACCTGCAATAAAAACACCTGTTGCTTCTCTTTGCCGGGCTCTAAATTCCTATTTTTTGTCTCTCCTTTTTGCTTTTTGTCAGATAAGGCAAGCAAAGATATTTGAAAGGCCCCTTTCTTTCACAGACACAAAGTACCTTTTTTAGCACAGAATTTGAAATGCAGCTTTTATCATTTGAAAAGCATTGATTTCTATTATGCATTATGATTAATGATTTATGGATTTCTGTATCAATTTGTCTAGTGGTTAAGGCACCAGGCTAGAAACTAGAAAACTAGTCTCACCTTAGGGATGAAAGCCAGCTGGGTGACTTTGGGCCAGTCCCTCTCTCTCAGCCCAATTCATTTTATAGTGTGGTTGTTGTGAGGAAAATATGAGAAGGAAGAAGTATTAGGTATGTACATTGCATTGAGTGATTTGTAAAACAATAGTGGCAGGAAATTAAACAAACGAATGAACAGGATGGGTTAAGGGAAGAAGAGATACTTGTATATAACCTTATAAGGGGTGAAAAAGTACTAAATTTGTACTTGTGATGAAGATCAGAAATAACTTTAAGAATTTCTTTTTCCCTTCTCCTTTTTCTTTGCACTTACTATTCTCTTATTCTTTCTTTTTCTGTGTTT